CAGGACGGAACATTTACCGGAGTCAGCAGCCATCATGACGTCACTAGACACCTTCAGTAAAGATGTTTCAGTGGAGTGGAACCTCCTGAAACCAGACTGAAAGGAGTCAAAAATATTATTAGCCTCCAAGAACGCTGGTAATTGGTTGTAGGCCAGCTTCTCCAGGACTTTGGCCAAGAACGGGATCTTTGATATGGGCCTGTCAGACTGTACAATAAGTCACTTTAAGTCACTTTAGAAGACTGAAAAACCTGCACTACTATTGACACTATTTCTGATTGCCACTTTTAAATTGCCACTTTTAAACTGCCACTTTTTTTATGTGCATAATATATCCTGCATTTAACATGTTTGCACATTTGCACATTTCCTCCCTTTTTTGCACAATCTGAGTGTTTCTATCCATGCCAAATGTGACATGTAAATTTCTCCTCCTTGTGAGATAAATATAGAATATCTTATCTTATCTTATCTCTTATAGTTTTACTTCAATTCACGACTATTATGAATTGAAGGTTAATTGCCATTCAAAACATATAATTGGTTTGGACTTGTTGATCTCCGTGGCAACAGTGCTTGGTTTCCATCAATCTTAAAGCTTACATTATGCAATAGATTCACTTAAGGACGTCTATTTAAAAGTTAGTCTATTTCTGTGGTCGTATGCTTGCCTCATGGTTGTGGCCTGGTCCAATGTACGCAATAAAACTCTGACAACAATCATAGTTTCCAGGGAGACGAGGTGAAGTGGTGCATGTTGGGAAATGAGAGCACTCAGAGGAGAGAGGGGAAAAAGATGGACACGTCTGAACAGATGAGGTAATTAAGAAATCGCTACTAATGAGCAGGAGCACAGGAACCGGAGGAGAAATTATGTGGTTCCCTCTACTTTACCTCTACTCTGGGCTTAAGTCGGGCTATTTTCACTATTTGGGGAGCAAAGTGAAATGTGTCATTAATTATGTAATTTTCTCCGTAATTGTCTGCAATAATACATCATTTATATATAAATAGCGCTTTCCTGGACACTTAAAGATGCTTCACATGTCATCATTCTTTCACACCAAATAAACTACTACTGTTGCCACAGCTGCCCTGGGGCACACTGACAGAAGCACCTGGTGTTACCAGAGGTCTCGCATCACACTAACCAGCACCTGCACTGCTTAGCCTATGGTCACAAACAGGTCATTGATCCCAACCCCAACCCAATCCATGAGCACAAATCCACATGCTTTTTTTTCCATCATCCACTTTCTTCCGCTTAATCCATTGCCGCGTCGTGGAGACAGCAGCGTGGAGTCTGTGCTGTGTCTTGACTATCTATCTACACACACTTCCTCAAGCTCATCTGTGGGAATCCTGAGGCGTTCCCAGGCCACCTGAGAGGCATACTCCCCCCATTGTGTCCTGGTCTTCCCCATTCATCTTGATGTGGAGGAAGAGCGGCTCTACCTTGAGCTCCTTCCTTGTGACTGAGCTCCTCATCCTCTAAGGGAGCTCTTTACTACGACAATCAAATACAGAAATACCAAACTGGAAAGGGCAAGGCACCTTTTTCAGGTCGAGCACCATGACCTCGGATTAAGAGGTGCTGATTTTCATCCATGTTGCAGGTTGGATTGAGCTAACGGGACAAAATCGTCCACAAACAGCAGAGATGAAATTCTGTGGTACCCAAACAAGACCTCATCAAATCACAACAGCAGTGGTCTCTGAGGACTTTACAACGTTGTCAATTTGCCAACAACTGACCAGAGAATCAAACCATTTGAACACAGGAAATGCAATAAAAACAACCACATGGGGCCCACCATTGGTCCATTGGGGGCAGGATGACCGATATCCATTAATGTTAATAAATGTCCATAAACGTTTGTGGAGGGGGTCCACACATTGTCCAATTATGAAATATCTTTAGAGTTAAACTTTGCTGTGCTTGTAGATGGAGTCACGTCTTAAGACCCACTTTTATTCTCTGGCTTTTAACACAGCGTGAGTCGTGTGGTCCTTTGTGTTTTTTGTTTGTTTTTTTGTTTTTTGTTTTTTATATAAATGTGTGTATTTATTTATTTGTTGCCATTTTGCATGTTGTACAGCACTTTGGAAACTGCGTGTTTATGAAATGTGCTATATAAATAAAGTGGATTGGATTAGATGTGAGTTGGGAAGAAAGGTGAATGACCCCAGGGGAAATCACCCCAGTTTACCCCAAATGAAGTATTACAACAGAGAAACCCAGAGCAACCAGTTCAAGGGTTGACAGAATATGTGTCTCATATGTGTGTTCTGTCCTTTGAAAGAAAATATATTGTACTGATGTGTGTTTGTGAGATTGCAACTGTAATGTATTAAACACCTCAGACTTTTTCATAATAACACTGATTGTTTAAGATTGTATATTTGCCCAAACACTGAACATAACAATCGCTTAGTGTTTGGGGGAAATGCCATCAACAATAATAATAAAAAACTTCCTCAAAGGTTCAAACTATAATTTTCCATAATTGTTTGATCCTAATTTTTTTGCCAGGCCCATTTCAGACCCAAACCTGCCCAAACCCTTCCCACAAGTCCTGACAGATAGTACTTCCCTTTGACTTATCCCATTCAAATATAAGAATGACGTATTACATGTGAGCAGGGGTGGACAAACAGAGAACGTTGGCACACACACAGACAGCGCTGCAGTCAGAACGGTGGAAGAGGACTGTACAAAAGAGTCTTGTCCCAAAACACAATGGGGCGAGCGTGTTGGATCGATCCGTCTGCAGAGAAGAGCAGCAGTGATACGGCTCTGGAGACATAACCAAATCAGAATGTGGCTCATGTTTCGGCTCATTACAATAAAGTAGACAGTGATTGACAGCTGCGTGGCATATAGGCTGGTAGGAGGTATGATGTCAGAAGCATCCATGGGCTGTTTGAGTCTGCTTCAGGCTCTATGTGTGATAGGAGTGCACCAAATGTCTAATTGTGATTTTTGCGGGTATTTTCTCCGACATTACGATTTACAATATCTTTTTAAGAAGTAAGCGTGCATAAATCAATCCACTTGTGAACGTTATCACTTTTTAAAACACCTACATTTTTACATTTTTTAATGTGAGTACACTCAGATGTATTGGCCAAAACGACCACATTGAAAAAATTGATAAAAACACTAGTGAAAGCAGTTTTTCTTTAAAGTATTGTCGTAAAGCAGATTAGCCAATGGAATTTGGAAAAAGCAAAAGACATTTCCCACTGAGAAAAGAATGCAACTGTGCATCAATTAAGGCGAAAGATACTTGTTCCATTTGCAAAAGGTAAATTGAGTCAAATTATTAAGATCAAGATTTATTATCTTTGTTATAAAGGGACAGTGTGTAATAATAGAGTCCTAACGCATTACAATTACAATCCCACTTGTGTTGCCAGAATCTACCAGCTGGGGTAAAAACTGTACAAACTCTATTATGTATGACTATTTTGTTCCTGCTGTGGTTACATTTTTTTTTTTTCAATAGATAGAGCCAAAACCAGCCAAAGTCCACTGAATAGAACAGCAGCCCAAATGTGAGCCTCATTCTGCTTTGATTGGGTCATCTGCAAACCTTTAGTTTAATAAAGGTCAAATATGATTTGTACATGTTGAACTATTATCTGGGGACAAGGTGCATTTTTTAATGAAAATATGACATACTGTCATATTATAAAGGCCCTTTCAGCAAGCATAGATGAATTGTTTAATTTGTTATTTTTTGTTTGTTTTGTTTTTTAAGGACTCATTGCTTACATTTTAATTTGATTGCAATAAACCACACAATCAAAAAATGTATTATAAATTGAAAAAGAAAGGTTTAATTAATGGAATTCAAACACACCAATGTTTTTTCTGACTCTCTTATCATATGCCCCCACTTAGCGAGAAACATAAACATTCCTGATTAATCTCGGCAACAGAAGACTTTAATTAAGAAATCAATTACTAGAAACATAAATGCATTGTTTATCTTCCCAACTGTGATTACATTGCCCTCATTAAAAACAGGGCAGGGTAATATTCAACATTTAGAACACATTTCTAGTGCAACATTCAAGCTGCATCAGGTAAAAGCAACAGTTTGTTTCACTTTGAATGCTCAGAAGAAAGGAGCAGGGTGAAATGGTTTAAGAGCAGCTGACTTATGGAAAGCCTCTTAGAAAGCGAGGATGCAGGAGACTGAAGAGGGAACTATACTGTGTCCAGCCCACGCTATAACTGGACTGGACAGCAGACAAATGTGTAAAAATAACTCACACTTTCTAGAACTTTTGGGCCATTTGAGGTCTTTGAAATATCACCGAATAAATACAGTTTGGCTCCTTACTTTGTTTTTTGTTTTTTACATAATACAACTGTCGCTAGAATGCATTCATGTGATGATGGGGTCTAATTGGCCTATTGATCGTGCTTCATTTAATTGCAGTCTATTATACGTGAAGGGCAAATGTTCTCCACCAGAATTATCCTGTAAATAAATAAAACCGGAGAGAGGTTGTGTCAACCAAGTATAGACTTTAGCCTCGTATAAAGATCATGATGATGAAATAAAGATGTCATTGATCTCTACATCGATTCATTTATAACTAGAGGCTTGATATGTTTTATATAAAGTAATAAGAGACCATACCCGCAGGAGAACACACATCTCAGCAGAGCAGACAGACGTGGAGTGTCTACATTGTACATTGTAATTCATCCTAATGCATCCTTCTGCTCCAGGATTTGTGGTGGAGTGTGAAATGACAACCATGAGGGCAGCTCTCTGATCCCAGGGCAGCTCTAATGTGTGGATCTGCAATGGCACAGTGTGACTTTGGCGTGCGTAACGACACAGGTTCGTTCTAAATGCTGATATGAGATGAGAGCTCCAGCCCCGTCCCTGAGCTTCTGGACGAGGAGAGTACGCGCATCAACATGCAGCGCACACACCTCATATACATGTAGTATTCTAAACACCAACACAAACACTTACGATGAGCGCGATGGTGCGGTCGTCCCGGTGGATCTCCAGCCTCCCGGGGACCACCTTGGGCTGTCCGCCATGTCCCCTGCTCCGGCTGTCCGTGGACGAGGGCGGTGTGTGCGGCTTACTGTCCTGCCACAGGTAATAGAAGGTGCCCAGGATCCACGCGACGGTCAGAATGGCGATGGCGTTGGCCCGTATCCTGCGCATGGTGAGTCCATACGGGGAGGCGACCCGAGCCTCCGTGCGCTCCGCCGGTGATGGTGATGTGAGCCGCAGCAGCTGCACCCGCTCTCTCTCGTGCACACGCACACGCACGCGGCTCCTCTGACCGCGCGCTGCCTCCTCTGTGCAGGAGGCTGGGATTTGCGCACAGACACGAGGATAAGGCGAGGTCCTAGCGCCGTGGAGTTTGCTCTTGTGCGCGTAAACAAACAGCACTGGAGTAATAACAGCATGTGGATGAGGACACGGGCTGACTATCACAGACAGCTTCTGTCATGAAAGGCCCCCATCCTCCCACTGTTTGGTGATATGACCAGTGGTTTATAGTCAACACAATATGTGGGTCACCATACTCACCAGAGCAACTATAAGCTGCGGAGAGCGATTCCCATGGCCTTATGCTTTTTTTCTTTACAAAATTAGGCCCTATGTTATTTCCTTCATCATTAATTTGCATTAGATTGTATCCCCCAACCAACCCCAATCATAAACCCTAACTGTAACCCTGAAAACCTAATCCAAACCTAATCTTAACCTTAATCAATTCAATTAATTCACAAATCACAACAACAGTCATCAAACAAATCAGATAATCAAAGCAGTGTTACAGAGTTAGAATGCAATAACCACAAACACATAGGAGACATTAGTCCACAGGGTGACCAATGTCTGTAAATGTTCATAAACGCTCATAAATGTCCATAAATGTTCTGGGCTATGAGAGAGATCCGCTCTCACTCACTCATGTCATACAAAGAAAAACATTGTCTTTGGGCATTCACACAACTAATTATTTCTGCATGTTGAAATGATGCATTCATATCAAACAAAATAGAACTGATCATGGAAAGCCTTTGTAAGAGGCCTGATTATGAAGATATGGCTGTGGCTTCTCTTCTTGGATGCAATAGAACAAGAAAAACAACATCATTAGGATTCATGAACAATTTGTGTAATCTGTCAAATGTTTCTTCTTTTCTTTTCACAAAATAAAACTGATTGGCTCCTTTAACATTCACGTATCAATGCATATGGACCAAAAGTGTGAACTATGTGGAGAATCATGAGGAGTCACACTGCTGCATAGAAAAGGCTGTGACTTTTAATTAATAATGAATAATATATTGGCGTAGCACAGATGGAGTTTGAGAGGAATTGTTCATTATCATGTGGAGTTAATTGTTTTTAGCAGTCATTATAATCTCTGGTCTGCGTCCCCTCTCTCGGATGTGTCATAGACATAGATCTGTATATACAGTTTGAGTTGGGGAATCGGGAAGGTCGTGATAAATTACGCCACATCTGGCTCTGAGCATCTGTGTCTGAGTCTTCATTCAAACAGACAAGGACAAACTGAAAGACAGTGATTCTTGTTATCATTTGCACCAGCCAAAGAGATGTTTTTCATGCTTGGGTAACCCTGTATTGCTCATTTTATGCTTCAGTGATCAAAAATGCAATGTTCACCTACCCTGGTTCATTCCAGTTTTAACAATGCCGTATTTTAGATCAAACATGAATGTACAGGCAATTTGAAGAGAAAATTGTGGTATTTACTTTTCATCTGAGAATAAGCCATACTTTTTGCTTTTTACAATTTACAATCTTTGCCTGATGCAAGAAAAAACTATAGTGAGTCATGTCATTTTCCTTCTTCAAATCTACTTTTTCTCTTTCTCTTCTAGGATGGAGAATAACTATAGATTATTAATCCCTGAACTGGTTGGAAAAAGGTGAGATGGACATAGAGCAGAGACAAGCAGGATATGAGGAGGAGAGGTCCACCCTTTTGTCAACAGTGTCTCAGCGACTCATGGAAAGACAGAGCTGGATGTTCCCACAGCAGCAACACACTCTTTCCCAACTTAAATATACAAGAAGAAGACACAGAGAAATTGGGAAAAACTGGAATAATAAATAACAGGAACATCAAAGGTCTAAATATTTCAAGTTTAAAAGGTGCAGTAGGATAATCCTTGCTATACAGAGTTTTATGATGAATCTATGTGATTTTTAAGAACAGCACAGTTTTGTTATTGTGTCCAATTCAGTGAATTATGATCAGGCTATTGGTTAACTATTCTCCAAACATTGATTATAACCATCAACAATTATATTTGACTTTTTTAGCCGTCACTTCTTTCAGGTTACCAGTATCGTGTCCTGGGTCTTCCCCACGATCTTTTTGCAATGGGACATGCCAATGAACCTTCCTGAAGTCACTGTTTGTGTCCAGTACATGTTGGAAGCCTGTATTAATGAACAGGACAACATCACCTGCAAACAACAGGAAGAAAGCCTCTACTCTTCAAAGAGCAGTCCTGGGGCCAACATGCACTTAGAAGCAGAAAAGAAAAGATTTTAAGTCTGTTGACTTAAAATGCATCAAGTAGTAGTAGTAGTAATCTTTATTTATATACCGCCTTTTCACTGCAGATCTGAGTCTCAAAGCAGTTTACAATTGTTATTTTTTGGGCATTAGTCTCTCACTCCACTCCACAGAGATAGGAGCGGGGTCGCCAGTACAGGAGGCGCGTGCCAGACCTATTGTACATATTTTTAGTGGTAGGGGAAATCGGAGTACCCGGAGGAAACCTACGCACACACGGGGAGAACATGCAAACTCCACTCAGAAAGGCCCTGGTCTGACCGGGATTCGAACCCAGGACCTTCTTGCTGAGAGGCGAGAGTGCTATCCACTCAGCCACCGTGCCAACGAGTGGCTCCAGGAAGATCTGGGAGAAACTCTCCTGGAGGTTAAGAACAAGATTGTTCTTTGTCCGTCCAGCTTCTTCCGCTGTCAGTGGATTCAACTCTCAACCATGATGGTCGGTGACAGCTCTGCCCCTCTCTTCACCCGAGCATGAGGGACACAGGGTCATGAGTCAAAAACAAAGTCCGTCATCACCCTCCAGACTTTAGCTTGAGCACAGTGTTTATTATTGATGTATGATGTTCATGAATAGCACAGAAGTCCAATAACTGAGCTCAAATTTGGGAGGCCTTTGTCCCTAACCCATAACCCTAACCCTTCCCTCTGGCAGTGAAAGTGGTACTGGAGTCTCCCAGAATAACATCCCAGGAAGGTGCACAGTCGGTAGACCTCTCTGTGATGTACATTCTTTGCAGTTTCCACAATATGTAAAAATACAAGATTTATTCAATCTGGAGTTTTATAAAAAAAAATCTGATATGTCATCAGCTTCCAGTTATAGAGAATATAAACTCGTCACCCTAACCCTAACCCAAAGCAAGGTATTTCTCCTGCATGTGGTTATACCCACATAAATCCAGATTAAAGAATGGGTAGACAATTCTTGGGACAGACTCCAGACCAGTAGGTTCTGTAGGATCTCTGTCTGGGTGGATTTCTCATACGTTTGTTGTGGACTTATCCCTCAGTAACAACAACACTTGAGTACTTTATACAACGATCCAGTAAAGACACAGGCTTTTATCTTTCCCATCCTTCGGACTTTATGTAAACATCTTGGATCCGTCCGTTGTCAGAAGTGCGTCTGACGTTCCCAATCCCAAAAAGCGTGTGGAATTCCTTTGTGATAACAGTGGGACGTGGGCCAGCCTCCCGCCTCCAGCTGCTGCAACCACGTATCATCGGGTTTACAAGTCACAGGTTCAGTCTTGTGTGGCAACAAGTTTGTGCAATCTATGACTGACTTTGAACACAAAGCTCAGCAGCAACTATTCACTGATTTATACAGGAATGACCTACTTTAATACATACACAATATACAATAAAAGCAAGACAACCTCCCATAAAATAAACATCCTGCAGAAAAAGTAAAGACATGCTGTTTAATGTTTAATTATGTAATATAACATTTTTGGAAATGTTTTACTGTATTTTGTGTTTTTAAAAGTTTATAATCATCATTATAACAAATAAAGACATGATCTATCTCTCATGTAGAACTAAACTGCACATGTCAGATAACTCCAACACCAAGTTATGACTGTGTGTGTATGTTAAGTTGTACATCTGTATAGAGGCAGGGTGTCACGAAATGTGGAATACATTGAATTGTGGAATCCATCCACCTACAGTATATTATCAAAACATAAGATTAGATTCACGAACATTTTTCACTATTGTGCTTTGTACTTCCTGTGTAAATGTATAGTGAAAATTAAATGCGACAATAGTTCTCTTGTTTTAGGTTCATTATTTCTACCATCATGATATAGAATTACTCGTTGCCACATCATTGAAAGGTCTGTTTCCTTGTCATTGTATTAGTATTTGGTAGAATCGCCCATAAACTTTGGTCAAACGTTTTGGGTATCCTTCCACAAACTCTTCACTATCCTTCCACAAACCCCTCACAATAGTTGGCTGGAATTGAAATGAAAGCCCCAGGGAACATCATTGCTAAGTTAAAACCTTTAGCTCACTATTATAAGACGAGATGCGAGTTGACATGGCATGCTTTTCAATTTATTTAACAATTTTAAAACTGGAACAAAATTGGGACCAACTTAAGACATGGACAGAGAAGGTGGTCAAGATCCTCCCCTCCCTAAAAGGTAAGATACATTTGAAACTCTTAAACTGAGAATATCGTTCAAAAGCCCATTTATTTATGTCTGTAATTCAACATATAATCTGACTAATGTATGACAGATTCATTACAATCAGTGAGACATAGCAAGCCTGTATTTGTTATAATGTTGATAATTGGGCCACAGCTTGTAAAAACCACAAATAAAACCCATCCATCCATCCATTTTCTACCCTTTAATCCATTTCTGGGTCAGGGGGGTGGCAGTCAGAGTGTGAGCATAGCCTTGATCTTTCAGCAGGGGCTTTGGGCAAAGTGGGGTTAAGTGTCTTGCCCAAGGACACAACGACAGCAGTCATCAGTGGGAGTCGGTGGAGAAGGCGTAGAGGTGGGAATTGAACCCACAACCTTCAGGCCTGAAGGCCAATGCTCTACCAACTGAGCTACTGTCGCCCTTAGGATAAAACATCCTAAGAAATGTTGAATATTTTGAAAATGTCCTGTAAGCCGTATCAAATATAATAATAACAAAGGCTTGGGATGTGTATGTAATGAGTCTATATCATACATTGGTTTCATATTTTATGTTGAATTACAAATATGAATGAACTTTTGAACGGTATTCTAATATTGCAAGTTTGATCTGTCAAAACATCACACGAGTAGGAAAGTCTTTCAAGAAGAACTGTGTGCCATTCATGTTTAAGCTTTGAGTTTCGGTTAAAACAGTCACTAATTCCTGCAGTTTTTGTTTGTGAATATAAAATGATCCCTTTCTGTACGTAGATGCCAAAATAAGTTTCTATAGGCTTCAAAAAGAATATCTATGCTGGTGGAACCTTATAATAATCCAGGTTTTGACAGCCCGAGGGTCCTGGTATAAATCCTTTCGCCAATGTGGGAAATGAATAAAAAAACAGGTCGTTTCCAGCAGACGTTGAGTCATGTTGTGGTTATTGTCGACTCACGTTTTGGGTGGAGTTCAGGACTCAACAGACACAATGTGATCAGGAAACAGTTGAAACACATGGAGAAGTGCACCTAAGCAACATACACCGCGATTTTAAAAGGACTTCATGTTTAATACTGGTTTTTCTCACTTTAAAGTTGTACATAATAGTGGATTATTTTGTGTAGGACCAGATAAAAATGATTTTTGTTGAGTAACCCATGCCACTGTTTCATAACTACACATTACTTCCAAAAACATGTAGAAGTTTTTAATCTTTCAAAATCTAGCAATTCATAAAACCTTTTCCATTTAAAGAAAACATTAAATTTCAAGCAAACTCTCAGAGAACTTTTAAAACACACACTCAATTTGGAACATTTATTAGCCACATTGCACAGATGGAGGGGGGCATGGGGGGCATAATAGGGCCATGTTGGCACACTTCATGATTTTTGTAGGAGCAAATAATGGTTGAGATCAGGGGAGACTTGAACAACAGAAATGAAAGCCAAAGCAATATGTTATTGTCAGCATTTAAGCTGAGAGAGACAGTAGCAGTTAGCATGTCTAAATGACATCTGTGCCTCTAAAGTCCCCAAAGAAATTAATCACTTTAATGTCTTGTATCACGCTGCTAACAAATGGAAATGACAATTGGTGAAATACCATCAAACAAAAACAAACAGACAATGTGAACAGTTTACATGTGTTTATTAATAATAATTAAAGCCGGTACCTTCTGTGTTACAATTCCCCATAGTATTGATAAAATAACTGTTGTAACATGAGTGCAAAGTATTTCTGATGCAGTAGGGACTAATGCTACTTAAGGCTATTACATAAAATTAGTCTCATTAGTCCTTTTTAATTAAATTAGTAAATAAATATTCACAACATTTGCTTATGAAATAAGCCATACTTTCACCAACCGCAAATCAACAGTGATTACTTATATTGCCTCAAAGTTTCACCATATAAAGATTGGATTGTATCGGATTCAACAATAAATAAAAAGGCAATTTGCCACAGTTAAAGTGCTGTAACGTTTAACTTTGTCTGTGGTTATGTAAAAGAAAGGCAAAACAGACAAAAAAGGACAAAAGATTCATGTAACATGGACCATCCATAGACTAATGTACTGGTAACAGCCCAAGCCGTGTCTGTGTGCAGATATGATTTTATTATTCCTAAAATTATGTTAACCCTTTAGGAACCAGTTTTTTTTTTTCTCCAGAAATTCTATGTGAAATAGACAAAAAATGTGGATCCCTAAAACTGTATAAGAGATAAATGTCTACTAAAATCAATAACAGAACTTAAAAAAGTGTAAGGCAGGAAACATTTGTGGGAAGCCAAGTCCCTGTATAGATAGTATCCTGTTCACAAAGCAACTTTGGCTACTTTGGTGCATAAAGGGTAATTTTAACATTTTATGTTTTCTATCCATGGATGTCCTAATTGCAAACACCAAATGCAATGTGCTGCAACACAGTGAAAAAGGATCTGACTTCAGTGTAAGTGAAGTAAAATCAAAATCAAAATATCAAATATGAATAATTTATTGCCACCATTTTTGTTTTATGTTGATCCATGGCAAAAAGGGGAAAACAAGTTAATCTAATGTAGAATATTGATGTAAAAATATGACAATATACTGTATGTAATGTATGTCTGCATTTCCTTAATTGTGTTCAGAAAGGCATTTAACAGTGTTCCCAGAGTCTATGGCATAATCAGCAAAGAAGAGAAGAGAAACCCAAACAAACACCTTGTCCTTTTGTCCTTTTGGCCTTTTGCTCTCACGCCGTCTGTCGCGATCACATTAAGTCTGAAGTATTCTGTCTGGCACAACATTGACGCATGCCTTTCGAATGCCAGTGCCTTTTCTTCTTCTTTGTCCACTGCGCTTGAGAAATTCCTCCTGCTTCTCCATGCGGACAGTTCGGGCCTTTCAAGCCAAGTGAAGTTGGAGTGGACAGGGTACATTTGGTTCTTGTTCTGGTTTTAGCCTCTCCCATTGGGGCATCACAGGATCCAGTTTGGTGAATGTCACTGGTCTGTGGGGCAGGTGTTTCGGTCTTTGCAGCAGAAGTAGTGCACCACGACTCCATTGGGATAACGGGCAAAGGCGCTGGGAAAAGGAGACCAATTTGCACAGTTAGTCATACACTCAGGGCGCGTGACCAGGTGATAATTTAAAATGGGTATGGCAGCGATAAAAATACACCTAAGATTAACAAGGTATTAAAGTGAATTAAGTCTATGCAGAAGTTGGGCTTAATGTGTTACAAGAACAATTTACAGTACAGCAAAGAGGGAAAGAAACTGTGGAAATTACTATCTTTCCATGTAAAATTCATACATACTAATTCCCGGTTAAAGCTGGGGTACCTAACTTTCAACCGGCAAAAAGTTAACAAGAGTATGAAATCAAAATCCATGAAACTCTCAAAACAGTTTTATCACTATAGTTTTCACACGCATGTAGTTTTTGGCCTCCGTCACACTGTTTGGCCTTTTCTTTTTTTGTCAGATCTCAGACAAAACGGTGAATGGTGATTCACAGGGCTCTTAATTAGAAGTATGCAAAAAGAAAACATGATTTCTAACAAGATAAATAAAGCCTTACAGCACTCTTTCTGCTAGAAACCCCAGCTTTAATAGCAAGGTATTTTAAGTCATACAAATTAGTTTAATACAGTGGGTGCCAAAGTGCAATCATTTCTCTGATAGCATCTAAAGGTAAATGCTGCCGGTAGAACGCACAGCTATAATAATGATAATGTAGAATAAAGCTGTAAATCCCACGCACACCGGGGCAGTACCTGTTGCCGATCTTCTTTTTGCAGACGCGGCAGGTCTTCTCTTCAGTGATGACACACTTCACCTGCTGGTGATAAATGCGCTCTTCCTGAACCTGGGACACAGAGCACTGGGTCAGCAGCAGCCAAGACAATCAACACATTCAGCTTCACAAGGAAGGTGGGGACTATCTGACTATTTGAAACGATAACAATTATTATGCATTATTAGCTGAAGGAAACAATCCCACCAACTGGGGACAGTGGGAATTGAAAAGGGGACGCTGGGAAGACTAATCTGTGCTGACAGCTCCTGATATCGAAGTCAAAAACACCAAGTATGTTTTTGATGAGGGAACAATGCTACCAAAACTTCAATCAGTCTCTGATAGTAAAAACCAATCAAAGCAAATATCCAGTCTCAGAAATATTTCCTATGGCCAAACCTTTTTTAAAAGCAAAGTACAATGGTGTAAATAAATATTCAGAATATTTTGAGTTTTGTCTTCAACATGACAACAATTAGCCTGACTCTCGCCAGACCCATGTAGTTCGCTGCACTTCACACATGAGTCTGGTACTGAGCCATAGTGGTTGGATTTCAGAAGGCAGGGCCTTGTAAAAAAAATCCTTATATGGGATTGGATAGACCACTTGTCCGTTATCTTGAATGAAGTCTGCTTTCAACCACTCACATCGAAGCACACGGCTCCCATATGTTGCCAAATCCCAGCAAGATTTTCCAACCCAAAATCCGCGAGAATACCCACAACAACAAAAAACACTCAGAATGATTTTTTGGCTAAAAACGTAATGTAATCAACTTGGGCTATCATGATTCTGTTTATTGTCTTTCTGTTTATTTAATACCTACAAGTCTCTTGGAAAAAAATATTCGGGAACCACCAAACCTGGCAACCCTGCTGCATAGTGTGTAAACAGGAACACTGAACCAGTGCTTCAACCAAACTTTACAGGAACATTTGACTCTTAAAACACACATATATCAACATAGAACCATCAATATCTCGCTTCAAATTGCATTAAAAGTGACATCCGTGTCTTAATTCGATCGTATTTACTCTTTTAAAAAGATTCGCGGACGTTACGTCCGCCATCTTGGATTCCTCTCGCTGCTGCATGAGAGAAGCTTGAGAAGGCAGTGCAAACCCCACGTAACACCGGCAATCCTGATTGGTCGATTAAAAAATAATCTGGGGAAGGCGTTCGCTTTGGCGTCGATACCAGACCCATGTAGTTCAGCAAAACGCCTCTGGTGGAGCATGGCGGAAATACAAGGGTCTGGCAAAGCCAGGCTAGACAACAATGTCTATAGGTTCAAAAGCAAACATTTCTAAACTTTGACCCATTTAAGAGTTGTATGTAAGCGAGTGATGTCTGACCCTGAGGAACTCCGCCTGGAGCAGACTCTTCAGGACCTGGTTACAGCGCTTCTTCTGGGCCTTTTCCTCCAGGACACTCTCCAAAAACACCCGAATCTCACGGATCTGGGTGTTGGCTGGGAGCAGGTTAAGGGCCTGTAAAACAAAAACAAAAAGATAAATGTCTTAAATTTGACTGTATGTAGATCCACAAAGGCTGACCAGTAGTAGGTTAGGTATTCATCAACCAAACACTACACTACAACCAAAAAACACTTGGCAATGTTCAATGTTTTATTTTTAACAAATCACAATCTTTTTTTCTAAACAATGAGAACACGCACATAAACAGTTCTTCTGATCCAGTTGTCTAATTACTGCCAACCATATCCCTCCCACAGTTATAATGCAGACATAATCTGTGCTCTTCCCTCGTGAGAACGTCATAGGGTGAGGTGTAATCTTATAAACATGAGAGGAATCCATTTTAGCTCCAGAGTTGAATGTCTTACTCTCGTCTAAGTGCTTAGTCCGCTTCCAAACCTAAAGCATTAAAACCATGATTTTTCAATAAAAAGGCCTGGTCCATGGAAGAGGCTGGGGGCTTTTGTTCAGCCCCTGTATGACTTTGGCAGAGGGCACTCTGGGAGCAGGGTCAGTGTGATTCACTGAGGGGTCAACATTATTTCAATGAGATGCAGAAAGCAAGGAACTGCATCAAAATGTGCTCACACCTTTGTTTGCATTTGAAGGAAATGGTTTTGCATTAACGCCAATGTCACAATTACCAGTTGGCTGCAAGTATAAAAGTGGATTAAGGCTTGTAAAAAAATAAAACCTTAAAGAAATCCCAAGACTAACCGATTAGGTAATCACAAAAGTAAATAAGAGATTTATAAAAGATTTGACAAAAACAAAGCTAAAACGATGTGAGTCAAAAACATCTTTTAGATGTGTAACAAAAATATTGTTTATGATACATCTACACATTTTCTTTTTTATTCTACAGTAATTACAGATCTGAGGGATGCATACAATTTTTTATTACAGCATGCACAAATCTGATTTTCAAAAACAATTGAAACAATTACTGTAATTGGTTGACAACATTTAAAAAGAGGCATTATGAAACTTTTTATCATGAAGATTTTTTTTAAATGTTGTGTATTTGATCTTGTGGTACCCAGCGGCTGTATGAGTGGTGCAGGGTGCCTTTACTTTCAGTGGTCTCTGCTAAAGGATCAATTGTTTTTCTGCTGTGGGACCCCGCACAAGAAAACCTCCAAACAGCTGATCCTCGAGCACTGTAGATAAAGTCCTGATCAAAAGCAAAGGCACCATTCTGACCACTCTGGGTCATCTACAAGTGACACTTTTTTCCACATAAAAATTAGCATTAGACCTTTAAATAATCAATTAGTTTCAATTAATGGCTTAACCTGTTGCTGCCTTAGATTGTTTGCGTTGTTCTAGCTGTGACAAGCTGTACTGTGGCGGCACGGTGGCTGAGTGGATAGCACTCTCGCCTCTCAGCAAGAAGGTCCTGGGTTCGAATCCCGGTTGGACCAGGGCCTTTCTGAGTGGAGTTTGCATGTTCTCCCCGTGTCTGCGTAGGTTTCCTCCGGGTGCTCCGGTTTCCCCTACCACTAAAAATATGTACAATAGGTCTGGCATGTGCCTCCTGTACTGGCACCCCCACTCCCAAAAAAAAATAACAATTGTAAACCGCTTTGAGACTCCGATGTGCAGTGAAAAGGCGGTATATAAATAAAGATTACTTACTACTACTACTACTACTGAAATATTTGAATTTGAATTTATTTCTTTATTTCAAAACCTGCACAGAAGACACATTTGACAAATGTTCAGACACATATGTTCAAGGTTTGAAAAGGGGTTGGATGAAGCACTATGCTTATTTTAGCCCAACCCTCTCACCCACACAACACCCGTCAAAATAATCCAAAAATCACATTACAAAGTACTACTGTCAATACAACACTACCACCAATGGTATACAAGAATACTACTGTACATTTTGCCAAGAATTTCAATACGATACTACCACCAATGGTATACAACAAAAAATGTATATATATATATATATATATATATATAGAAAAAAAACAACAAAAAACAACCCATGCGCATACACGCACATTCACACACACACACCCTACACACACCCACACACACACACACCCACACACACACACACCTGAACACTCTGACCCCACCCCTCTCTGCCATCACTCGCTCTGTGCTGAGGGCATCACTCTCTTTCCTCCTTGTATTTCTTTAGTACATCTTTTTTAAACAAAGCTTTAAATTGAGTCAGATTTGTACTATTTTTAAGTTCATCCTTTAAGGTATTCCATAGAGAAACTCCTCGCACTGAGACACACATTGACTTTAAAGTGGTCCTAAATTTAGGCAAGTATACATTTTTATTTCCTCTTAGTCTATGACTATGATGCGCGTCTCTGTCACGAAATAAATTCTGAACATTTGGAGGCAGAGAGTTTTTTGATGCCCTGAACATAATCTGAGCAGTTCTAAAGTGAATCAAATCTTGTAATTTAAATTCTTCCAACTCTATGAACAGTGGGTGAGTATGATGCTTGTAGTGAACATTAGAGACAATCCTTATGGCCTTTTTCTGCAGCGTGATCAGAGGCTGTAAGTGGGATTTGTAACAGTTCCCCCACACTTCAACACAGTAATGTAAATATGACATGATGAAAGAACGATACAATAATAGAAGAGCATTGGTGTTGAGTAAATGACTTGCTCTCCTCATCATTCCAACACATTTAGCAACTTTTGACCTGATGAAATTTATGTGGGGTTTCCAGGATATTTTATCATCTATTACAACTCCTAAAAATGTATTTTGGTGAACTTTTTCCATTTCTGTATCGTCAATGACAATCTTGACAGGAATATTACATCTGCGATTGCTAAAAAGCATAATCTTGGTCTTTTTTATATTTAATGACAACTTGTTTGTATTAAACCAGGTCTTTAGTTTGTTCATTTCAACAGTTACAACGGCCAAGAGCTGCTCCAGATCATCACCTGCACATATGATATTTGTGTCATCGGCAAAGAGAATGAATTTCATTAAGTTTGATATTGTACATATATCATTTATGTTTCAACTCCGGAGCATATATCAGCTCGATGCCTTGGTGCGTTGCTGGTTGTTGCTGCTCTGGTGCCTGCTGTGACGGGATTGGCTGGGGTCACTGTGCTGCTTGTTGCCGTGTTGTTATGCATGACTTTGCTACTGGCTCCGGACACACAGGGGTAAGTGTGATGTGCACAGGGGTGGGAACTTATACGATTTTTTTTCTTCCTCCCACTCCTTTTCGAGTTTGAATGATGTCAATATTGTATCTGTAAATGGTTGATTTGATGTACATGAACTTGAAATAAATAAACACTCAACTCAACTCAACTCAACTCATTTATGTACATTATGAATAAAGTGGGTCCAAGTATTGATCCTTGAGGTACTCCGCACGTTATGTTCTTAAATCCAGATTTGTGTTGGTCAATCTGTACCAGCTGCCTTCTCTCACTTAAATAACTCTCTAACCATTGTTTAGGCTGTCCCCTTATGCCATAGCTCTCAAATTTGTGTATCAAAATATGGTGGTCAATTGTATCGAACGCTTTTTGAAGGTCAATGAAAATCCCTAAAACAAATTTATTTTTCTCAATACCATTAGTAATTTCTTCAATTAAATCAATTAGTGCTAGTGAAGTGGATCTGTTTTGTCTAAATCCATATTGACTATTGGACTGTAAATTGTGGTTTTCAATAAAGCAGCGAAGTCTAGTGTCAAATACTTTTTCTAATATTTTAGAAAACTGTGGCAGAAGGGAAACAGGCCGATAGTTTGTAAAGTGGTGTTTGTCTCCAGCTTTAAAAATTGGTATGACTTTTGCAAGTTTCATTTGTGAGGGAAATTCTCCCAGCTGAAAAGATAAGTTGCAGATATGTGTGAACGGTTTAGCAATTTCCTCTGCTACATTTCGGACAGTCCTCATGTCGAGATCATTAATATCACCAGATGTTTTATTTTTACAGTTCCTAATGACATTGAGGACTTCCTTCTCGTCTGTGGGGGCGATAAACATCGAATGTGAATTTGTTTCAATGAGTTCTCTTAGCTGATCATTGTTTTCTGGGATTTTTCCTGCCAACTCAGGCCCTATATTAACAAAGAAATTATTAAAACCATTTGCAATCTTCTTTTTGTCTCGAACAATCATGTCATTTTAAAAAAAAAACTCAGGATAACACAGGCTGTTAGAGCCACGACCAATAACGCTATTCAATACATTCCAAATTCCTTTAATGTCATTTTTCTTTTTGATAAGTAAATCTATATAATATTCTTTTCTGCTGGTTCTCATTATGCTAGTTAATTTATTTTTATATGTTTTGTATTTTTGTTCAGTTTCTGTCGTTTGATACCTAAGAAATTGCCTATACAAGTAATTTTTCTTTTTGCAAGCGTTTACAAGGCCTCTTGTTAACCATGGAGTTTTTGTGTGCTTTCTTGTGCACTTTTTGATTGGACAGTGCTTATCATAAAGTGTGAGGAAAATGTCAAGAAACAAATTGTAAGCTCCATTTACATCAAACATTGAAAAAATAGGATCCCAGTTTTGCCTCGCTAGATCATGCTTTAATGCTAAAAAGGATTGTTCTGTTGTAACTCGTTGATAAAAGACCCTTTTAATTTTTCAACCAAATTAAAATATTTTGCAGGTAAATCAGCAGCAAAAGCCTTTTAACAATTGCTTTTTGTTGTTTATTTAAGGGAACAGGTAAATAACACAAGAACAAGCACACATTTCAATAACCTCTCGATCTTTTTCTTCCCAAAACAAGTGACATGATTACACTTGTCAGCATGACGGCTTCATATCTTCATCTAAAAACAACCCAAATCCTCCTTCAATGAATCAGCCGCAGCTCTAATTTCACACCAGGAACTGAAAGGTGCGATTTAGCTGCAACTCATGTCAAGCTCAGCAGCGCTTTTAACAGCAGGATGCCGCATATAAAAACAGCTCTGATTTTAAATGCATAAATTCTGTAATAACCCGGATTCCACTTTGCATCTCTTTCCTTTCTGCGGTACAAACACAATAACCTGCTTCCTTGACAGTCGGGAATCACAAATTGCAAGTGTGTTCAATGGCAGGGTTCATACAGACCTAGAATAAGTTAAAGGCAAATCTACTCTAGTATTTTTTTTTAAAAGTACAATATGCAAATATTCTGGAGGGGGATGATCAGGACACTTTAGCATTCTACAACATGTATGGACATTTTCTTCTGTGTGTGCTTTATATTCTTCATGTGTTTTAACTGTTGATTCTCTGACCTGTGTTGGTGATTTCAATGGTTTTGTTAAGTCCTCTGAGATGACTTCTGTTGTGACCTAGGGCTATACAAGAATAAATTGTATTGTGTATTGTATTGTATTGTATCAAAAGCCACGCCTGTTTGTATGTAAATGTGCACATTATAGTTAAAAACATTGGAAATTCTTTGAAAATTCACTTACACAATTCCAAAGAAATACAGGGTTAACACATAAACAATAATTAGGAACTTGGCAAGCTTTTTTATAGTCAGGACACCATACTATCAAATATTCACCATATTATCAAAACAAGATCAAGATCAATAGTTAGAAAATCCTGTAGCAAAGTAAACAATATACTAAGGCGTATTACAAAAACTAATGACAACAATATTGTCAGAATTATATCGCAGTGCTTGGTGAACATTTGCGTTGTACCTTGGTGGTGTTGAGCTTGCTGTGGTGGAGCTCCAGCACCTGCAGTGCGGCCTGCAGATTGGCCTGAGGCTCACACACCTCCATCTTTATGGGGCCCAGACAGTGGACGTCTGGAGGAGACAGGTACATCCTCAGCAGGGACAGGTACACCTACAAAGACACCACAAGTTAAACAAACTAACATTTTGGTCTAAAGGGCCTTTCCTTTATTATAGTTGTGTAAAAACCATATTCAGAGGGACTGATGATACATTTAAGATAAGAGAACCTTTATTCGTCCCGCAGTGGGGAAATTTCAATGTTGCCACGCACATATAAGACAGTAGTAAGAGCACACATAGAGCACACAAAATATACAATGTAAGTAGCGGCTATGATTCTTAGCTAGCTGTAAATGCTTCAATAATGTACTTAAACTATTTAATATTTACTAGAACTCGCAGAGTACAGGCATTTTATTTTTTGTGATTGACAGTAATTTGTCCATCATAAATTGAAAACTTCAACTAAATTGAAAACTTCAACTAAATGACTAAGGTCATTTTAAACATGTGCAAGACATTTACCATTTACCTTTCATAAACAAAGTATCAAATGAAATAAATACTTGCATCTTTATTTCCTTCAACGGAACTGTCGTAATGCCTTCGACAGTATCTGTAAAAAGCAGACATAATTAGGCATTATAAGGCGTTGACTCTTGTACCTGGATAAAATGTGATCAGACATAATCAGGTTAATGTTGTTTGTGCTGGAAAGTGATAATGGATATTTATATTTAATCACCTGCAATAAAATAACTAAATGTATCTCTTAATTAAAGTATTGCTTTATATGCAATTTATTTTATCAATAGTATCAATTAATATCCATAAAGTTTGTTTGAATTTGAAACAATATAGATTTACATACCCTATTATAGTAATTTCTTAACCAATAAAATACATACATTGGCTTCATCCAACCACCATCACAAACAACTGTGTGTTTACATATCACATGTTTACATGGGAAACCATGTGATATTAATTTTATTCAACCATCCACTAACTAAGTCACACTTTCTATGTCTATGATGCATTTGTGTCCATTCATGAACACCACTGCATCATTCTATAATTGAGTTCCATGCTGGTAAAATACAAAGTTTTAAAAAAAAGCTTTTTACATTTCAACATGATAGCTGAAATTTGCATTTAATTTAAGTATGTTGAAATTATGGTTGAAGAAAGCTGTGACATAATCAGGCCACCACAGCTCTTTAGAGATGCACATAAAGGGATGATTTTAACAAGGCCTAACATTTGTCTTTGGGGCATGGAAATGACAGACAGCCAAGTTTGTAAGTGCTCACTCTTCAGCCATGCGTGTGTCCTTCAGGATGTGCACGTAGATGAAAAGTGCTTGTTCGTGTTTTCCCATTCGTCCCAACAGCAGCGCTCGCTCCTCCAGAAGACCTGAAGTACACGGAAACCCAGGTCAAAGAGCAGGTTACACCCTCCAGAAAAGAGGCTGATACAGAAAAACTTGGTAAGAAATTCCTTCTATAAAGAACATATGGAGTTTTAACAGGATCTTTTGTTTTGAGGGCACACCCCAGGGCACAGGATCTGCAAAGGTATTACTGATGAGGTATAAAAATGATCACAGTAAGTATCACACTTTTGATTGAGCTGTGCAAATGTAAACTGCTGAAATTTTAACAGAATGGGCCAGCCATTACTTTCTGGCTTTTACCCAATGTGTTGTGCTCGGAAACTCCACCAATTAAAGTTATTGTTCAGACATATTTAAAAATGACAAACACAAAAACTGTTTTCTTCCAGGAACTTAATTACTTTAACTGCGTAGAACTGAAAAACGTTCTGGCAGCCAGTGCATGAAATGAGCACAATTATTTTGGATGAGTGCTGGCAGATAGGGCGAGAAGCTCAGTCACAGGGGAGGGACTCATGAGTAGAGCCACAACTTCACGTCAAGAGGAGACAGTTGATGGGGCTTGGGCAATGGATAAAGTGGCAGAAATGGAAGGATATTTATGGATAGAGTAAAGTATTTACCATCAAAGGGGAAGTTACTGATGAGCCTGTCTGGTTCATAGCTGCTGGACTCTTCCAAAAAGGATAGAAGCTTGTTTCTGAACTCTCCCAGTGTCCCGGGCTCTTTTCCTGCTGATACAGCCATGACCCCTGGAGGAAAAACAAAACTAGTCAGCTCTACTCGTCTAAAAACGTTTGAATAAGACAGACAAGCCTTAACTCTAGTCTCTGAGCAGGTAATTTCTGTTATATTCTGTTTTCTTTTCTGACCTTCAGGCAGAGAGCTGAGATAGGCTTTCATGAGGCTCTGAACCTGCTCCAGGTAGAGCTGGATCAGGACGTTGTGAAACTCTGGGCCCTTGTCATCCCAGACAGAGATGATGTGCTCCAAATACGGTATAGCCAGCTCTTTGAACCCCTCTTTCAAGAAGTTGAGCACTTTATCTCTGGGCAAAGACTCCACTTCCGTCAGGTCCTCAGTGAAAATCTGCAGCAGACGACAAAGTTAAGACTGGAAGAATGCTTTTATAGAGCAGACAGAACAAAGGAATTCAAGATGTCAAATAAATAATGATGAAAGAAATGAGCTTAAATTCATAAAACAACCTTGAGGCCGTCCTCTGGACAGATCTTCAACACCCAGGGGGAAAACTCAAAGATTATACCCATGTTCTCCACTCCTGTGACGGGAAAAAAGTAATGATGACAATAAATATGGACATTTCTAAATCTAAATAGAACTGCTTCAGCTTTTATCCCAGAAGATCTACTAATAGTGACTTATATGTGCTATTGTTAGAAACCTGTACAGGATCATTTTAGACGTGTACATTTTACAACCACATATAATGTGTAGTTTAAAATGTTCAGTTATTTTATTATAAGTCTACAGTTAAATTATATTCTGTTAATATTTGCCTTGAAAACAGTTTGACATGGATGGAAGTTTGACATGGAAGTGATGCATAGCACCTCGCTCCCTTTGAGATCTGCCCACATAGCGCTATCTATGGGATTGAGATCATCACGTTCACTTGTCTTTGACCCATTAAGGCCAGACACAGCCGGTAAAACAAACCTGCAAAACCTGAAGTTTTCCTGAAATTAAACGTCTCCTAAATGATTGATATCTCGGCCCCTGTAGCAGATAGAAACATAATTTCAAAAGAATTTGAGAGCTGAGAGCAGTGTATTATTATACATCTTCAGTAGGATAAAACAAAAAATATACAACTTCCACACAGGAAAGGTATAAGAAACAACCAACAATAAGGTGAGACTAACACATGTTTCTCAATACAATAAGTCAAAAAGAGTTTGGCAATAAAGTGGCACTAACTGTATGGAAAAATAATATTAAAAAAATCCACTCTCAGCCCAAAAAAGTCAAATAATGACTCACAGGGCTCTTTCTCAAGTAAGCAAAATAAAAAGAACATAACTGTTGGGGTTTGTTTTGTTTGATTTTACTTTGTGCACAAATAACATGCATTGTCAATGCAAGCGAAAATGTAGTGAGTTTTGGCTGAGCTTCATGAGGAGACTTGGGGGAGACGTGGGGAAGACGTGGGCGAGACATGGGGGGGACATGGGGGAGAGAGGCAAGACCCACACGTGCAACAAGCTGGGGATGGTTCTGATCCCGCGTGTATGGTTCTGTCCGTGCGTCTATGGTCCGCAGTACATGACCAGGTTCGCTGAGCAGTCAACGCAGATAGAGTTGCATAGTCGGAATTTGCGGATCCGCAGATAATTCTCATCACAGGTATATCTTGATGCATTTCATTGGTCAAGAGAATTGATCAATGAAGAGAATAGGTCTCCCGGTTTTCGCTTTCCCGGCCTTAAAAGGTAGAAGTGCGCAACAGCGCTGCCGGCTTGAAAGGTAGAAACGTGGGAATGCGTTCCCGGCCTCAATGGGTTAAGCCATTTTGTAACTACTTGGATGTATTCTTGGTTTTATTGTTCACAAATAAATGAAAATTGCCATAATTGCTATTTTAAAATGTAAATAAAGGGAATTATATTTTATCGCAAGCAAATTCCCCCAATTCTCTATCATTTCAAAAGTCTGCATGCCCTAAAACGCCACAATGACACTTTTTCCAGATAATCTTCACTTACCCAGTCTCTGTAGATACTGCACAGTTCGCTCATGTCCTTTCAGTGGAGAGTTGGCTTTGGTGGACTGGTCGAGCAGCACCTGTAGAGCTGAGAAGGCAATTATAGTGAGAACAGACTAGCCAAGTAAACCTGCGTAATTCCTAATACTGCTTTCTGTTTGATTATCGCTGTCATCAGAGTCTGTTGGCTATAATGTGCCAAAGGGAACAAACAGCTGGTTTAGATTGGTACAGACCAGGAGAGTGTAGAGGCATGACATCACACACAAACGGCAACAAATGGATGGAAACCAGACGCTTGAAACGGGGGAAAATGCCAAAAAATTAACAGCGCAATCCTTCAAAAAACAAATGACTCTCTGACAGGTTTGATATAGTACATGGCTGACTCAGAAAAACTCAATTCTGGACATTTCTTGAAACATGGTGCAGTGCATATTTGGGTTACAGGCTATTGATCAATGTTCCAGTGCATGACTAAATATTTTTGGAACATACTGGAACAAAAACTGCTGATGTCATTTTGGCACCAGGTTTCCATTTTTCCCAGAGCTAAACATCTGCCAAGTGTGAAGTGATTTGTACAAATTAGTTTTATGTCCAATATCCATTCTGATAGCATTAATCACAGTAATTTTAAAAAGTAATTAGGACTAACATAAAAAGTTCTACAGCTTGGTTTAGCATTAACCAAAGCCACAAAGGCCAAATCAAATTAAATAGACATTTAGAACAAATGCTACAAATGTGGCTATGTTGATGGTTGTCTGGCAGTTAAATATTAGTTTTATTAAGTTCAAGTGTGATTGTTATAACCAAATTTGAAGCTTTGAATTTTTCTTGTGGCATAATAAAGTCCCTTTCTAGTTTCTACAAGTATGTAGTTTCTGGGAAACACACACCCAGCTCACAGCGGCTTATGAATGTATCAGAAAAGATTCACTGAAAGGACCCAATATGTCACGTATATCTATAATAAGTATTAGTCTGTGTCGAATTATGGTGAATTCCGTCATTGTTTGGAGAAATCTGAACATTCATTATTTCAACTCAGTTGGTGAGCTCAAGAAAACAGGGGAAAATCTCCACCATTATGTTGATTACTGCAGCACGAGTGGATGACATTACAGACCAAACAGAAAGGGGATTCCCATTAGTTCACCAAGTTCACAATGTTGGACATTTTACTGGAGACAATAGAGACTGGAGCCTTGCAACATTGAAATGTAAGCTACATTCATGAAGTCACCTTAAATGCTAAATGATGCTTTTAAGTAGGTCATTTGTGTATTGAGCTTGTAAAATACCTCAAATTAAATGAGGATCCAATAAAATAAGATAATAATAATAATTCAGATCCATGAAGTAAAAAATAAAGCCTGTCAGTTTCATATATAGACCTTTTCTTCATGCTCAAATTCAGACACGCCAAAACACAAAGAGCGCTATTGCTGCATTCATAGAAGACAGTCCTTATTCTGCTTCACTAATGAGAACAACCCAGTCACGCACAGCATTGGGTGTATTTTTAAAAAGTAAATATGTAAAGCCGTTTTTCAATGTTACCATTACTGCCGACATGGGACAACTATTTGTGACTGAATCATACCTTTCTGATGCAGCCCCTTCTTCTCGTAGAGGATGATGAGTTCGCTGTATTTATGAGCCTTCTTCAAGACGTCCTCGCTCACCTCGATGTGGCAGTGGTTATTCTCCAAACGTAACAATGGGGAAACAAGTGCTACATTAGTCTGAAAGAAAGAGAACACATGGTAATGACTAAGATAAAGAAATCAGTGAGGTCATTTTAATGAACTTACATGCAGGTAACACTTGAGTAAAGTCGTGTCTATGATTTGGAGCAACTTTTTGCGACTTCTGATGGTCGGTGTGCCTTCCATCAGCGGAGAGGTGGTGAAGGGGTCGGCATCATTTAGCTGTTTGACCAGGTGACTACGTTTCTGCACACACACAAAAACCCATCCAATAAATTAACAACAGAACAGAATAGAACAGAACGTACAATGTGGAGGTTTGGAGTATTGAATATATGAGATATTCATTCACCTGTATGAGGTACTCGATGAGAGCGAGGTGAGCTTTTTCCAGCTCAGCCCCGGACAGGGTTGGCAGAGGGTTGGGGTAGTGCAGCTGTTTTCTGTAGTCAGCCGGGAGCAGGTCTGGGTAAAGGCCGATCACATGAGTGGGATCTGAGGATAGAATATACAGTGAAAGGAAGTCAATTTAAAGACCATAACAAAAGCATTGAGATGTTCAGAAAGCTTCAAGGACAACCAAACACCAAATAAACTTTTTTTTAACTCATAAACTGCATACACATATTTCTTATAGTGCTCTCTAGATGTCCTGGTGAATTTATTGTCATTGTAGTGCAAACTAGATACAATCTCATTTTTGAGCCTAAAATGTAATTACATTACAAAGAGAGCTCTGAACAAAGTGGTTTGTTCTGCTCGGAGGACTGTGAACTTAGAGATGCCCGTTCTGGAGGCTCTTTATGAGAGCAGACTCTTAAACCAAGGATTGTTAATGACTACTCTGGCCATCCTGGAGCGGCCTTGTTCCAGCCTCTTCCCTCGGGGAGAAGATTCTGGTCCCTATGGTGCAGGACCACCCGCCATGCGAATAGCTTCTTCCCTCAGACTGAATAGAGCGCCCTGAGATCTGCTTCTCTTTTTAGCTCCTTCGTAGCTTCATAATAATGCTTTTATGAGTTTTATATGTGCCTCATTGTGTCTCGCCAATTTTTTTTCTAATTATTTTTGTCTGTGTGCTTTGTGATGTTGGTGCCCCCGGTGTCGCCTGTTTGTATTCCAATGTAGTTTTTTCTGCAAATGGCAATAAATTGATTCTGATTCTGATCAATTGACCGCCCTTACTGCTGAGAAAATTCTGTGACTTAGGTTCAGTTGTCTTTCTATACCATTATCTTTGTGTGTAAACAAGAGTGGAGTTAGAATTTCTGGTGTGTAAACTATTGCCTTAAGCAGCAATGACTTTTTTTGATGTGTTCTGTGATTGACAAGCAAGCTGTTAATCACAGCCCAGACCACGTCCATCTCTAAGCCCACCTTCTTGTCCCCTGGACCTTCAGGCAACGTCCTTTTTAGAGAACATTTTCAAATGTTCATGTGGGCAGAGTAAGGCGGGGCACTGGTGTTTAGTTTCCCTTTGAGTATAATTTTGTCTAAGCTGGCTATGTAAATGCTGTAAACTTACAATGACACAATAGAGTAGTTGGCTGCCATCAAGAAAACTGGCTTTTAATAAGAAAGGCATGAAAAAAATATATATATAAATCAAAAGTTGTAATGATTGTGAAACTCGTACCTGTGCCGAGTTTGGCGAACACCTGCATGGAGTCATCAAATCTCTTCTGACAAAACAAGTTAAAGGCGTAAAGATTCTGGATGTGATGGATCTGCTGCTTCTTATCTGAATCTGAGTCATCTTTCATCTTCTAGAAAAGGCAAAGAAACCAAATGTTTGTTAAAAGCATCTGAAAAGTAGCTCAGGGGTATAAAAGCAAAATTCTTTGCTTAAATCATGATTATGCTAGAACAAAACCTTTAGTGTTTTAATACTTCAAAAGGAACTCCTTGAATAATGAGATCATTAAAAAAAATCTGCCTGAAGGCCATGGGGTAATTTTTGTGTGTGTGTAATTTAATTAAAAAGACTTCTAGAAAAGTTTGTGCTAGTTGTTCTCACCGCAAGCTGAAGAGCCAACTCAAACTGTTTGTCCTGTAGGAGTTGCCGGATCTGAGAGGCTATAGACACAGGAACGAGGCGCCACACAAAATGGTTACTGGCGACATACACAACGTTTGGACTGTGGAGGAAAAAAAACAACATTCAGACGGGACGATTAGTTTCAGTTAAGATTTTGGAGCTAGTAGTGAATGTAAAGTCAATCTGATGGTTTCTGCCACCTGTTTGAACCCATAATGATAAGGTGAAATGTGCGTGTTTTTCACTGTTAAATATGGACTAATAACGATTGTAAATGTAAAAAGTAGTGAGAGACAGTATTGCCTCCTCACCCGGCAGATGCGATGAAGCGCGGCCTCTGCAGCTCCACACTCTGTACCAGCAGTCGTGGCTCAAAGGTCCGGATCTCCACGCAGCGAGGAAGGACCGCAATGATGTACGGGGGCTGGTGCTCTGAGGGGAAGAGACAGACAGAGGCTGTGACAAACAAAAAAGCAATGCAGATTTGCTGAGACTACCAATGTACTTGAGCCATTCTAGTGCCACTTCTGAAATCAAGTAGAAGGGAACAGAGTTGAGGAATAATTATGCTTACATGTGAAAAGAGCATGTTCTGAAAGTCATGTTATACTTACAGCGGTCACTGTATTTTAATGTTCTCTCACAAGTGCCAAAATAACATTGATTTTCTTCAATATCAAAGTTTCCACATTAAATAAAGAAGAAGAAATTCATTATTGTAATAAAAGAGGACATGAGGAAACAAAGGGCCAACTCTCATGAGAAATGAGATGTAGAAATGAGAATCTGTCAATTCTACATTTTTGTGCAATTTCAACAGAGCACAACAGCCACAGAAAGAAACATTTAAAACCACAAAGTCTGCATCAGGATGATTAAAAGCACAAGCCAATATTGTTGTAGGATGCCATGTGACCAATAATCTGACCAGACTTGTTCAACTACTGTCACATGCTGTCAAGTAGCTTTCACAGTCAAATGATGCACATGCTTTCATTCTGTCCAAGAATAACAACTGAAAAAGGTACATCTTGACCAATTTCCCACAGCATTTATCTGCATCTGGACAACAGCCTGTAAAGTCAGTCCCAATATCCTTCTTATGTTAATTCTGTATAAGCAGGATGATGTTGCAGTGCCATATTGAGAAGAATAATGCAACATTAAAGCCGCAAGCGGCGTCGAACAGCCCTCGCCGCACCGCGTGCACCACCCAGCACCAAACCGTCCCGAATTAAGCCGCCATGCATCAAGCCGTCCCGCACCACGCTGCCCCGCCGCCCCGCAACACGCCGCCCCGCAACACGCCGCCCCGCAACACGCCGCCCCGCAACACGCCGCCCCGCAACACGCCGCCCCGCAACACGCCGCCCCGCAACACGCCGCCCCGCAACACGCCGCCCCGCAACACGCCGCCCCGCAACACGCCGCCCCGCAACACGCCTCCCCGCAACACGCCGCCCCGCAACACGCCGCCCCGCACCACGCCGCCCCGCACCACGCTGCCCCGCAACACGCCGCCCCGCACCAAGCGGATCTGCACCACGCTGCCCCGCACCAAGCCGCAACGCGCCGCTCCACACCGTACCACGCAGCACCGTGCAAAGGAGGTGGGGCCTCCGAGTGATGATTTGTTGCTGTTGCCATAGAAGAACGTTAGTCAAATTGTAAAGAATATGATGATTAGAGCTGTTTGGCTCCCCATGTGTTGAGACGATCTGGAGCGATTTTGAGGCCAATCGGTGAAACGGCCGAGGAGGAGTCGCTATCCAACCAACATGTATGAAAATGATTGTGGATCATTTTTCCATTTTGCAGTGAAATTTATGGGCTTCCTGTTTGTCAGAGGGCGGAGCCATGATAACATTTTGGTCGCATCTTGACTTGAGAAACATGTGTACCGAATTTCATGGCTCTACGACAAACTTGACCTCTGAAACTCCCATTGGCTGTTGTAGGTGGCGCCTTTTCTGGCATTTTTTGAGTCCCATAAAAATAAACAGCAAAATATCAAATCACCAGGCCTGATGTTTGGGCAAAATTTTCAGGGGGTGAAATTAAGGCTCAAAGTGCAGAATTTGACATCTCGAGCAAAAACAATAGGCCCTTTCCCCGTTCGGGGCTCGGGCCTAATAAAAGCAGACTTTCTTTGTTCTTAAAGTGAAGAGCCACAGACCTGTGGGAAAGCTATGAATAATAAGATGCATTTTTTAAACTCCTTGAGCAGAGGAGCCAAACAAGTTTAGAAACAGTATTATAATGTATCAACACCAAGCATCTTGGTGTGAGACATTCCTGATAATAATCTGATTACTGTTGAAGATTTTTCTTCACATTGAGGATTAAACCCTTTTTCTCTTTTCTTATTATATTAACAGAATCAAAAGACTATTTCATCAGCGCTTTTGGAAGAAACTAATGATGAAGTGTTTTGCATATTGGATTTCTTGCACATCAGCAGACTTGTCCACACTGACTCGTACATTTGTTTGTGTAGCTGTGTTTCATTGTATTATATCAGTGAGATGACACACTAGGCTGTTGATAGCAGTAAAATATAACCTTCATCCAGAGATCCAGATCAAAGTCTAAACACTTACTGGGACATAGTTGGGAAATGACACTCTGGCTGCACATTATTAATATGGGCTGTAATGACAAAGTACACTAAAACCTACAGTTGCTGCTTCCATTATTTGAGCCTTACCCATTGCAATAGGAATGTCCGTCCACTTGAGAGCGCACTTCTGAGTGAAGGTTCCTTCATCGTTGAGCACTACGGTGAGGTCATCCTGTCCGACAGCCACTTTCCCATCAGCCAACGGGGTGACCAGAGGCTCCAGCTGCTTTCCAGTGGGGAAGAGCTCTTGGACACCTCCACCTCCCATCTGATCATAAAGCTGGGTTATTGAACAGAACTAGTATCGCACCGCAAAGGAAATAGAGTATGAAACACAATTACCCGAATTAAGTAATAGTCTCTTTTAAAGCCAACACAAATTGAATTTCCACACCAGGCCATGGACTTGGGGATATCAGGAGCAGCAAAATCTCCCTGAAAGACAAACCCTTGTCAGTTAAAAATCACAAGAATCTGAGTCTCACCTTTAATGTTATTTACCTGCAGCTCAACAAACTCCCTGTCTTTCCAATAATAAAGTTGCAATTTCTTCTTAACTGCCACACACATTCTGAGCTTCTCCTCTCCCGTGCTAATTTGCTAATGGAACAAGCCATTTTATTTGAAACACAATTATCATCAGAAATGTGTACAGCAATGAAATACTTTACAATTGTGTTGCAGTAAAAAAATAAATACATTCTCAAGCAGTTCCATAAACTACAAACCTCAAGATCACATGTGAACAACGTTGCTCCTCTGGCTTTGGGCACTACAGTGATTTGTTGAAATGTCAACAAATCGTGAACATGAATGTTGTTTTCTAATTGAAACATTAAACAAGTTTAGCACAATTACTTTGGTATTATAAAACAGATTTAGCTAGTTTAGTAAAAACTTACCCAAAAGACTGACCAATATTTTGTATTGTGACACTACATAAAGCTGCAAAGGAACATTTAATACAGGTTATAAACAAAGTAACGCACATGGCCTGTACTGTCATATATCATTTATGACCAGTATTTGATTCTAAGAAATCCACACATTGTAAACATTGAATCACTTACCTGCTGTATCTTCTTTGAAAAATTCTTATTGGATTTTACCAAGGTCACCTCAAATCGGTTTGTTGCTAAGGGACAAGAGCTTAACTTGTTAAAATGAATCAAGATAAAAACAAATACAAATTAAGTAATAGAACAGCTCACCAGCATCCTTCTTTATTTTGTATAAAAGAAGATGTCCAGGTTTTGTTCCTACAAGCAGCCAATCCTCTGTGTGGAGAGAAAGTAGAATATCATCTAAATAAAACTCTAAAACAACAAGTCAACTTTAATCTGCAGACATTTTATCTGCTGATCTAATAACTACAATTATATAGACAATATTTTGCAATCAAGACAAACTTACAAATATCAACACATAAAATCAAAAGGTTAGGGTTTTGTTATAAAACTGAACCCATCAGCAAGTAGACCTGTAACTTGTTATTGAGATAATAGAAGCGAAACTTTATTTATCATATGTTTCTGTTTACAGGACATAAACAATGGCTACACGCATTATATTGGAGGGGACCACTCCCACACAATTAAAGTTGAAGATTTGTCATTAGATTTCTTATTATTATCAACTTACCCCAGGCCGTGAGACAGTCGATTTGGAGAGGCAACCTCTCCAGCAGTGGGACTGATTCATATGCGTCGTGCATCTTGAATAATATTGCAAATACAACTCCAAATATCTTGTGTATTTACTATTCTAAACTGACAGCTGAATGAGCTACTAGGTCCACTAGGTCTCCATTACACACACATGGGATTGCAATCAGATATATAAGGGAATTAATGTCTAGCAAGCGCTGATATAATGTAGTTTTCCTTGAGAAGAAGTTCCCCAGAATCAAAACAGCTAACTGATAGCATGCTAGCCCAAAGTTAGCAATCACTCTATACAACTCGTTAGGATTGCTTTATTTGGACTGAACTGAATAAAAGCACATCCACACTAACGGTCTTACCCTAGCCTTCGCACCACACACACAAGTTTATCACTGACATGTTTCTGAAGGGCTGTTATTATGTTAGCTTCATGCTACTTCCTCCGCTGTGCTAAAACCACGGCTGCGCAGGTTTGACAGGCACGTGATCTGCGCTTCACTCACGAGGAAGGCATTAGAGCAGCGCTGTTGTGGTTTCACAGGCAGATGGCGCTGTTTTTATGATATCTATGCTTCTACGACATAGAGCCATAGACCGCAAGCTTATAAATAAAACAATATAACATGCAGAAACCATACTCAGAGTAGATGATTAACATTTTTTAAATGAATTTACTTCTGCTACCCACATCATTTCCACCAATGTGTATATACTGAAACTTTCCCCATCAATGTAAAGACCAAATTAAATTTCGTCCCAGCAACTATAGTAACTAAGTCAACACTAGTTAAATATAAAGTGTCATTAAAATGTAGCATTGACAAGGATGGGATTCATAGTATGGACGTTTCTATAGGCCTATTGAATAAACAAAATTCAAAGTTGCATTTGCTTATGAAATGCAACTTAATTTTTTTATTTCTATCAATACATTTATTTAGCATTATTATTTTATATTTGTTTTAGAAGAAAATACGGTATCTCAAAAAAGCAATGACCAAATTAATCTCTTTGGAATTGTCTTCGCTTACAATCAAGTAAAAATTAGAAGGGACCTGGAGTGGTCACCTACAATTTAGAGATTCACCACTCAAGGATTGGAATAGCATTGGAATACTCAGCACAAGTAGGTACAACTAATCTAAAGATAGACTGATAGCACTGATAGCACTGAAATGAAAAGAGGAAAATAACCAAAGAGAACATGAATGAGTGCAAGCTGTAGCATAGTATTCAATCACGTACAAGCATAGATACAGACAGCAAAACACATCCCAGCATTTCAATATAAATCTTTATTTGCAGAACATAGAGGAAGCCATACATTAACAGCTTCACATTACAAAGCAAACTTTAGTGTAACTAAGGACAAAATCAACCTTAATGTTTACAAGGGTTACTAATGGCAAGGATGAACACACCGCTCTCTGTGTGGAGTGAGAGAGCTTTGTGACTCTGGTCTGTGAAAGGCGCTATATAAATAAAGATTTCTTACTTACTTATATGCGGGGGTAGTAGTTTTAGCATGTTATATTTTCTTTATTTGTAAATGAGAAGTCACTGAACCAGTCTTCCCTGCACTTGCCTCCAGACATTTCACTGGAGAAGTTTCTGACTTTTGTAATCGGAGGGGTATCAAAGGTTTCTAGTTACATTTTAAGTTCCAGTGCAGACCATATTTACCGCAATACAAAATACCTTTGTCAACTAAAAATACAAATGAATATGTATTAAAAACAGTAGATACATATTTACATACAGTAAAATGCAGTATTGCAATCCTTCCTAATATGGCATGAGAATTTACTTAGTGTGTGTGCATGGAATTGTAATATCAAGTAGTGTGTATATAATGTTTGTATTTTCAGGAAATGGTAGTGATAGGTAAAGGATCTGCATAAAGAAAATGGTTTACTTTGGTGCAAGTAATAAATAATATAATTCGAATTACTAGTTTTGTGGAAAATTACAGCTAAACTTAATACATGGCAACAAATATTTAGCTGAATAACCCTAAGAATACTTTGAACAGTTTACGTTACGACAATATTTGTGACCTTCGTATTACTATGTTAGCAGTGTTCATGTGTTTGGTTGAAACAGAACATCACTGTCAAACATATATTCTTCATATTTTTATATATTTAGACTGAAGATTGACTCCTCAATCACATTAGAAAAAAATAAAATAATATAAAAACCTGACAATAGCTTTCAATTTGCCAGTGCAATTATCAGTAAAGTAAAACCACAAGAGGCCAACATTCTCACAAAGAAATGAATGAAATGACAAACAAAATAGCATCGACCACCATTATTAACCCAGAACCTTTACTTTATCACGCTGTAGCATTGGTTTATGCTAGAGTGAGATATTCAGGTAGATATATATTTGGGAGTAGCCTACACATTAACACTTAATACACAGTAGTTCTTCCAAATAATTTTTGCACAAACCCTTACTGTTTCCTTAATGATTTAAACAAACCATAGAATTTGCTTATTTCAATTATCAAAGTTTACAAAAATGTGTGCACACAATAAGCATTCTTTGTATGCGAAGAATTAATTAATTAATAATATGTTTCACAGTATGGCCATACAACTAGATTGCCAGTTCCACACTTCCTATTGAGTCTGTCAAGGATGATCGGCCTTAAAGCCTCTGTTCAGTGTTGTGTACTGTGTTGTGATTATTAGGCTTCATTATGGTGTCAGACATCAGAAACTAAACTGTTCACATTATATACTGTGGTGTCCTACCTTACCACTGTGGACGGTCAACATACAAATCTCAGAGTATGTTTGTAGCAGCTGCTGATATTAGGTACATGTTAAAAATACCATACTATAATAAAGACATAGTTGGCTTTGCCCTCGTATTTGGTATGAGCCGATCCCTTTACCACAAAAGTTGCCTTCAAACTCCAATATAATTTTACTCCATCTTGGAACGCTCCATCTTTGTCTTGAGGATTTCCTGAAACAAAAGTTTGAATAGAGAAAATATTTATACTAATAGCATAAATTGTGCAGAACTTAAAAAGATTGGTCGTTGGTTAAGTTATTTCTGAAGCAAATGATCAACCAATTACCTCTTCTTCATCGAGAATAACAGGGAGAGCTCTGTGAAAAGAATAGCCACATTACAATAAAAGTAATTATAAAACAAAGACATTGTTGCATGAGAGTATCTGCATCTTATTGAGGTTTAAAAATATTTCAGACTAAAATGTAATGGTATATTGAAGTATGAATGTTTTTCAGTGGTACTTACACATCTGCAACAGTTGTGGGAATGTTCTCTTCAACCCATTTAAGGTCCTCGTCCTGAAACCAAAATATAAATGCCTTTTGAAAATTATGACAATTAAAAAGACACACTAGATTAATGATTGGCAAAGCTGACCTCTTTACTCAGTAGTTTCTGAGAACCGTTGGCATCGGGCTTGGAGCCTCTCATCTTCATTCCTTCTGAAAAATAATTACAGATTGAATCACAAATGAGGAGTCAATAACATTTTAACAGAGTCCAATTTGTTCAATCAATAATTCAACATTAAGATGTATTTAAGGAAAGTCCCTTGAGAAGGAGCAACTATATTTTGAAAGGCTTGCAGTATCAGTCAGTTTGAATTTACAACAATGCATATTAAATGCTTGTTGTAATTTGCCTTACCAAAAGCCTCATTTAGCATAGGCTCCTTGGCTTCTTCCTCTTCATCCTCTTCGTCAATAAGAGGAGAATGAGAAAACCTAGAACCATGTTATTTGTTTAAATCAATGACAAATTGTTACTCGATTGAGAAATAATATAACTGTGAGTCTGACCTCTGGCTGTTCACAGAGGGCCTCAGCAGCACCATAATGACCAGCAAAATAGTGGAGAAGAGAAGTCGCCAGAACGCATCATCTACCCACAAGTCCCTCCAGCCCTGAGAGCACAAACAATGGGATCAAATGGATATCACATTGTATCACATTCTGAATATGTTGAACTGAAAACAAACAAGGAAGGAAGAAAGGAAGGAAGTAAGGATAACTGACCGTCTGGCATTCGACCACCTTGAAGACTTTGGTGGTCCAGATGATGAAAATAATAGAGGCTGTAGGCACAAAAGGAAACTTTTTGTTGTTGTTTTGTCCAAACACAATACTGAAATAAACCATCTTCTACAGATATACTAACAACAACACATGACCAAAGACATGCTATGAATGAATTCATGTGTCCATGTCCTGATAAACAATTGGTTTGTTTATCTGAAAATCTAGGGTCATAGGTTTACAGTCTCTCATAGTTTCATACATATAGGTTGAATCCATTGTCAAATGAAATGTGTGTCTTATAGTGTTCATTGTTCACTTCTTCAAATGTCAAGTGTGATTTGTAAAAAACAAAAACATTTGTTACTCACCAACCACAGAAAAGATAAGCGTATTTGTAAAATGCTGGTATAAAGCCAGTTTTACGACATTCCTGCGAAGCTTGAGGAGCCGAGTGGTTTGAGACAGGCTGATGAAAATGTGCTTGCAAATTAAGAAAAACAACTGTTATGTAATAATCAAACATGCAGTTTATGCCAAGTATTAAACTTAAACAGATTGAGTGGATTTATAATGTCCAAAGCTGTCATCTCATTTTACAAAGTAAAGGATATCCACCACATGACACAGGAGTCGATGAGGGAGAGGCTAAGATTAGCCACCAGGGCAACAGTTCCATAGAAACTCTGTAAAACAAAATTACATGAACAACTTAGTCTGAACACATGAGAATGAAAAGTGACATTGTTCATAGTTTTAAGTTATGGTGCAAATGAGATACTCTTTCTGTGGTGACAGAAAATAGCTTTCAGATGATTATTTTCACTTCGTATCTATTAGACTGAATTTCAGTTTCTCTGCTCCGAATGAACACCGGCTCCGGCTTTAAGAGCGCCTGGCCAGCGCCCCTCTCTCGCTGGCTCACACTGTGGGTTCCCCGGAACCTCTACCCTGCCTCTGCGGCCATGTCTCCGTTTGTCCTTACGTGTTATTGCTCTCTGCTGTTTCTTGCTTGCACACAGCGCCGCAAATGGCGAAGTGGCACGCTCTCTGTCAAAACAATTTCCAAGTGGTAACTTGTTTGTTACTTACGTGGCAATAAAAATGATTCTTATTCTGATTCTGAACTTGCACTGGTCTCCCAACCACGCTTCCCTGATGCCATCCACTTCATTATTTCCCGGTCCGCTCCTCGACATGAGCTTGTTTCAATTCCTGGCCTCCGCACCTGTGGACAGGCGGCCCAGGCCCCACGTCTGTCCTGGGCCCTCCCAATTCCTCTTCCATGAACCAGTTCTCCCGTGGGCGGGAGGGCGCAAATATCAATTCATATCGGGGCCACCAAACTGAAAACCCTAACAATTAATATTGCAGACCAAATAAATGAAATCCGAGGCCTTTCACCCCAAACCAAGTTTTAGGTCGAAATTTAAATTTAAACTATTTTTCTTGTTCTAACAATGAAAATAAGAAAAAGACAAGAGTTTGTTTTCTCATGTGCACGTCAGAAACAAAAATAGAATGAACGGAAGGCGCACGAAACCATAAATCACTATACCTTTACAACAACTACCAATCTAGTTTCAACAATAGAAACATAAATTATGCCTGTGTAGTTACTCACCCCTGTAACTCTGAGCACACCCTCCACAGAGGAGAAGATCAGGTACAGAAGGCCCACGGCCACCAAGCGATGCACAGTGGTGCCCAACCTTGGCCTGAGGAAAAAGGGACTTTTTTTTACTTTGTTGCTTTGTAGTGTAATAATATGTGAAAAATCTCTTATAATATTCTACCTTTGGAAGATTTAGTCTGAACTGACTACACACAAACTTCATAAAAAACTGACTGACTACTTCACAAACAACTTTGAAATACATTGGTTAATAAAAGTTGTGTTTTTTTACTTTGCCAAACATTATGTATCATATTTTTTCTTAGTCCTGTGTGCATCATTTTATTTAGCCTGTTCAGCTAGGCCAAACTGTGCTCCATCTCAGTACATTTCAAGTACGTTGTTACTGTGTTGTTAAGTCACATTGCAAGCAATCGCAGAAAATATAGGTTTAATAGCATTGGCAAGTACCATACAGCCCATAACCATTTCATCTTTGACGATTGTCAATTAAAAAACTTACTTGACAATTCCATAGCCAAGGCTGACAATGAGCACCAGAATCCGAGCGAGAGATCTTTTCAACGCGGAGAGCAGCTCAGCAAAGATCACTGCTCCTTGGACTGGACAGACACAAAACATAAACAAAGATCATTTTAATAACATTTTTTACACAACAAATATTTCACATCTTCAAAACCCATCTGTAATCGTCTCACCATAATCTCCTTTGTATCGGATGCTCTGGTACTCTGAGTAGAACACAGCCTTCTCTAACATGCCCAGAATGATAACAGCCCCGATCCAGAACTGGATCCTGAGCAGGTCTCTCCAGTAGCAGGCGCACCACACAAGCCACAGTGCTCCAAAGAACACATACACAATGCACATCACCATGAAAAACTGCAGAGAGGGAAAATATGCCTGTTATTACTGGACACCATCAAACATTTAACGACTGACAAGCTTCAAAAATCTTCAAATAAAATCTGAAGCTTCATTTTATGCATGGTCCATTTTACCCATGTAGTATGTGAAAACGTTGCCACAACTTACCATCATAAGAGGCCAGTCGGCTGGAGACGAATAGTCATGAGGACCCTTCATTTCGACTTTCACTGTCAATGAAAAAAATAATGCTAATTGACCTTTCAAATCATTTGACCTCAGAAAACTATATTTATATACTACTACTTACTTGTAAAAGCCACGTTTTGCTGTGTCAGAAAATCATCTTCATACAAGCCACGAAACATTGGCTGCACCCTCACAATGAACAGATAGGGGCTGTCCTTCCAGGCTTTTGCCACAGCACATATGTCCTATTATAGATAAAATGTTTGTTTTTTTATATTTTTTTTATATATAAAACACTAGAAAAGATGAAGTAATCCACAGCATAAACATAAAAAAGACTTACAGGCTTGTCTTGAAAATTAAAACTCAGATTTGAAGCAGGACTCTACAAACAAGAATATACTGTTAGAATATATATAATAAGCTAGTTTGTGGTTTGTCATTAAAATAAATAATTGATTAAAAAAGAAACTACTTACATCTGGGGCAATAAGGGGCTGGTATGGGAAGAATTCACTATAATAACCCTGCAAAAGTAAAAAATCTATTTGTATAGAACCAAGAAACATGGATGTGACAACCTCCCCATCCCTGTGCAGACAGAAGAGCAAGGGGCTACCTTATGATTATCAAGTGGCTCGAAGGCCATCATACATTGTTTTATATTTGAATATAAATCAATTTGAATTTTATTGTGCATTGCTTGCATAAAAGGTGGGGCCAACAGGTTACCGGGGACCAATGCTACTTTTAGATCATGCTTTGCGGGCCTCTTACATGGTCCTCGAGGGCATGTAAGAGGCCCACAAGGACATGCCCAACTAGACCACACGCCTCTAGTGCATTTGTGACCCCTGCACTAGAGGCGTGTGATGTAGTTGTCTTCATGGAAGCATAAAAGAGACAAACCTTTGGTAAGAAAAGGGAGGTGCAGTTCTCAAAATACATATAGCCCTGACTGTAGAAACCGTTCCAGCCATCTTTTAGCATATGGTCCATCCCAAGCATGTTCATGGCCCTCTGGTCCTGCAAATAAATATTATTTGGTTGGGACAGTCCATATTAATCTTTCTGGATGGTAGCGTTGGGTTAATTTGCATATGTTGTCCTACAGTCAGACTCACCAACACACTCATTTTCCCTGAACTACTGCACATGCTTTCAGTGTTAGGGGATGTCAGATAATACATTACATCCAAACCATGTTCTAGACTTTAAGTATTAATTATTGATGACAACAACAACGCAAAGCACCTATAAGAGTTATTTCCAATTTTATCTATAAACCAAAAGGCAGTCAGAAAAAGTCAATATAGTAACATCCATGTGCTTTTATTTAGTGTCTTTCAGTAGTTTTCAGTAGTTTTCCCTACTATTAGTAGGCAAACATTAAAACTCACAGGAGTATTGAAGACCTCATTGTAGCAGACAGATGAGCGCAGGTACCAGGTGATGTTAAAAGCCAGGTTCTTGTCACATGATGTCACGTCTCCTTGGACTGAGCAGATCAGATCACATGTTTGCAACTGTTATTATACAGGGCATAAGCTCTTCCCAACTATAAACTTAAATCCCCCATATACAAAAAACACAGAGGCACAAGAGACACAGATGTCTAAATTTGCTTTGATATTTGAAGACAAGAACACTTACATTTCATGTAGATAGTGGTGTTGGCATATAGTGTCTTGCGAAACACTGCATCTTGGCCCTAAACAGCATAGTTTTGTGGTTTATATATATATATATATATATATATATATATATATATATATATATATATATATATATATATATATATATATATACATATACAACACATAAATGTAGAGAATATGTGAATATGTGTATGACTATTCATCGAACCAAATTTCTCCATTGTGAGATCAATAAAGTATATCTTCTTCTTGTCAGGAGCTATAAGTGGATTTATTTTCCCTATTAGTCAAGGTGATGCATACCTCGTCAACCACATTGAACGCCCTCATGTCTAGGAAATACCTACTGAAATACCGATAGTGACTGATGTAATCACTATGCCAATATTTAATATGTTCCTGTCCGTGGTTAATACCAGTGCGCACCAGGAGGCATTCCATCACACCACGTTCTGGTCACATATCACAAGAAACTCAACAACTAAGGTTGGAGATGGTATGTATCTGGTTTGACAGCTGACCGCTGATAAATCTGAATGACAGAAACCACTGTAGCGTTTCTTTTATTGTTATTTTGTTAGTGTCTTAACTAAAAATGAGTAAGTAAACATTATTTGGAAGAGTACCGTGTATTTGAAAAAATCTAGAAAAATAGATAGATAGTTTTAGCTACACCTGCTAACAGCTGGTGGCACACAAGATCGGAAATGAAATTATAAGGAAAAAAAACGCAATACATTCACGTTATACAAATGCAGCACTGACCCCGGTGATGCCCACGGTCCAAACCGAGACCTCGGCTGCTGTAGAGAGCCGGAAAACGACCACAAAAAGCAGCAAACAGAACCGAGACGTCAGGGTGTTCGGCATCTTTCTGCATCTGTGCATCAGCAGCTGATCCACGTCCACTTCCGGGGTTGTGGGTTTAGGCCGCTAGAGGGCGACACCTAATTTGTTCATCAAAACAGAAATTAGATTTCAAATTTTCAAATAAAAATGTTTTCCATTCATTATTTTAAACACACGTACTCAACATACGCGAAGACGCACTCAAAATGTATTCGTAGTTAGGTTATAAAATGAGAAAAATATGTACATATTTAACAACACACGTGGTGACAAGTCGTGTATCTTGTTCTATGCTACAAACACAAAGTAATACGACATAAAAAGAAAGTATGTAGTTGATGATGTAGTTATCTTTGATTTTATTTTGAAATGTAGAGGTCCGGTTACAGTCGCATTAACCCCGCTGCTGCAGCGCTTTTCTGCCCCATATGCATGTTGTGTCACTAAATGTTGTTTTCTAAACGTGTTTCTCATTGTTTTGCAGCAGACGAACAAGTGCAGCGAGCGACCAATGTGAACACCGCTGAACATGTTGGAAGCAAATATCGCCAGGTACACCATTTACAGTTTGGGTACACCATTATGCATAGTTTGCACAATGAAGCAAAAGTTGAAACTTTTTATCATTAACCAATATATTGGACTATATTGGCTCGATGCCAGAAGCCATTTTTCATAATTTTAAAAATCTATTAAATGCATGTCATACTCTGATCTGACCTTTGATCTCATTCACTGCCCTGACCTAGACCCTGTCGAAACGCGTCGGCTCAATTCTATATTAAAGCACAGTTTTCAGAGTGCCTCCTTCTCTATTTTTTCTTCTTTACCTTGCCTTGTGTGTTTTTGATATTTTTTTTTCTGCTTTTGTCATTTTGTAATTTATGTCTCTAGTGTTGTGCCCAATGATGAAGGAAAGGAAAAGTTCAAGAAAAGCGAACATGTTGCTTTCTACAGGTGAACTGCAATTCATTTTATATTGAATTGAGATTGCATTGACGAGTTGTCTGGAAATAAAACGTGTATTTCCAAATTAGACGGCAGATTCAGGGCCCTAACAGACTGTACCGAACCCTTCTGGACTCGATTGTGCTCAGTGACAATGGAGCTCAGTTTGAACTACTGGAGACTGATACACAGGTCTGTAACAAGTTGTAACAAGTTGACAAAAATAATATATTGCTATTGAGCGAGAGTTTCTGCTAGAGTTGTGATGACCAAATGATTACAAACTCACTCTTCTTCTATGCTACAAACACAAAGTAATACGACATAAAAAGAAAGTATGTAGTTGATGATGTAGTTATAGTTATCTTTGATTTTATTTTGAAATATAAAGGGGACTGTGGTTGTAAAGTGCCAAACTGTTGTTGTGTCCTTTGGCAAGACACGTAACCCACATTGTCTAGTATGAGTGAATGGTAATGGCGGTTGGATGAGTAGATGCCTTCTTTCTGTCAGTCTGCCCCAGGGCAGTTGTGGCTACAGTGGTAGTTTACCACCACTGTGTACGTATTATAAATTCCATGTGAAGCATCTATGAGCAATGTTTCATTATCATTAATATTATTATTGCTTGCATCGTTATAATGTAATAAAATGTACTTCTTTTTTAGACCAAGCTGCAATTAATTCTGTCACCTTGTAAAAACGACTCCATAAGAATATTGATAGATGAACTTCAGCCCATTAACTATCGCTACAGAGTCAAAGACGTGATCTCAGAAGAGCCACAGTCGGAGAGGTAAGGTGCCCAGTGTATTGTCAAAACTATGCTATTCTTTTCATTCTCTAAAGTCCTGTTTATCCACTGCTTTCAATAATGAATGATAATTTTCACTGTCTTTAGGGTAAGGGTGGAAGATCAGACTAAAGCTTCAGTCACACTGTCCTGGTCTAATGGACATTATCAGGCCCGTGTTTGGTGTTTCCCATTCCACATAGAAATCCTGTGTGAATATGAAGTTATTGCAATGTTTAACCCAAAAAATAAGCTCTGGTTTGAGACATTGCAGGAAACCAAAATGTAAGTTAGTCAAAACTGAATATATTTACACTGTAACTGCTGAAATAATGCATTAGACCTTTTCTTTTAGGATGACATCTGTTGCTATGGAGGTGAGAAAAGTAAGGTTGTGAGACGCAAATAAAATGTTTAAATTCTGAACGTCAACAGGAGGACAGCAATTCATTATGGAAAGAAACCTTTAGACAATTTGTGGATCACAAAACCAATGGTATGTCATATGCCAGATTGTATTACATGTGTTACTGTTGAAAATTGAAAGGAATGAAAGAAATTACAGTAACAAGAGCAAATCACATGCCACATGTCCAGATACATAGACCATGGTCCTTAAATGCATTTTAGGTCCCAGTAGTATTGGAGCAGATCTGCGCCTTAATGGATCCAGTCACGTGTATGGTCTCCCTGAACACGCGGACAAACTGCAGCTCCGAGACACCAGGCAAGTCCATATAAACAATTGTATTGTGTTGTATACATTTTATACATAGTCCATGTTGTTTGTTCCAACAGAAAGAGTCTTGTAAAAGTATAACATGAAAAATCAGACCACAAAAAACTGTCTTTATCTCATTAGAACACATGTTCTCTTTTGCTACTCTTGTGCTCAAATACTGAGCCCTGTGAGCAATTTGACACTTAGGGCTGAGAGGTTGTTGGCTGAGTTAAGGTAGTCCTCTCTGCTTTTTCTGAAAAAGCTGATCTAAAGTTGTGACAGATGCCAATATTACATGTATGTGAAAACTAGGGATAAAAGGAACTCGTCAGATGGACGCCCAGAATTCTGAAACTTATAAGAGCTCTCGTAGCCGTTCATTTTGGCGCCTCCTGTTCAAAATGGAATTCTAGAAAAAATGAAATGTATATGCTTTTTATACAGTGTTCAATATGTGCTAAAACTGGTTATTATAACTCAAAAAGAGTAAAATTAACTGCTGCAAGTAAACTGTCTGTTCCTATGGTAACCAGCACATGCTCAAAGCCAAGATTGCTCTGAACCAGTCCTGGACAAGTCCAGGATCGAGATAATATGATCGAACATATTATCATGTAGGTACAGAAAAAAGTTATTGAGTTACTTTTGAGTGCTGTGGGAGTTCTAGTGTTAAGTGTCACATATGCGACATATTTAGGGTGACAGTAGCTCAATTGGTAGAGCATTGACCTTTGAGCCAGAGGGTCGTGGGTTCGAGCCCGACTTTCACCACCGACTCCCACTGTCTGCTGTCTTTGTGTCCTTGGCAAGACACTTAACCTCTGGGAACACCAGCCACAGTGGGGCGGCTGCGGCTGTAAAGTGCCAAACTGCCGTTGTGTCCTTAGGCAAGACACTTTACCCCCATTGCCTATAACGAGTCTAGTGTGTGTGTGAATGGTTGGTGGTGGTCGGAGGGACCGATGGCACATACTGGTTGCCTAGCTTCTGTCAGTGTGCCCCAGGGCAGCTGTGGCTACAGTAGTAGTTTATCACCACTGTGAATGGAGTGAATGAATAATGACATGTAAAGCGTCTTTGAGTGTCCAAAGAAGCGCTATATAAAACTGATGCATTTTTTTATATATGCACTGTGTCTTCTCCAGCGGTGGTGAACCTTACCGGCTGTATAATCTGGATGTTTATGCCTACAACCTGAACGACACACTCGGCCTGTACGGATCAGTCCCTTTTGTGTTAGCCCACTCTTCAAACAGGACACTCGGAGCTTTTTGGATGAATGCTTCAGAGACCTTTGTAAATGTTCACTATAGTTCGCCTGATAAGGTTAAAACACTGTTTATTTTTATACTGACATAATAATACAAGAATTGAAACTGAAATGTGTTCTATGATGTTTCCTACAGGACGACTCGACTCCTCCTGCGAAGAGAAGACGCACACAGCCACACACAGACCTGCACTGGCTCTCAGAGAGTGGAGTCATTGACTGCAGGATTTTACTTGGACCAGAGCCAAAACAAGTATTTACCCAGTACGCCCAGCTCACAGGTCTGTAACAAACTTTTATTCAATGTACTTTATGTTTATTTAATTCTAAAGTGTATTGAGCTATTGTGGTTGGCTGGTTTTACACAACAGTGATGGCCCTCCAAAAAGAAATGGATAGTTTCAAAGAACTATACTCCAATTAAAGAAAAATACAAAAATTATACTCAGATTAAGGAAAAAATTGTGATAATAAAACTAGACATTCATTTGAACAATCACCAATACAGATAATTAGCATAATTTCATATTTCCTTCATAATTGTAAAAATGACCATCTCTGATCTTTTTCATCCTACAGTTTAGACGTATGAGTACTTTTGATCATTGAAACTACGAGGTATAACATATGTTTATATTGGTTTGGTATCCAATAGGATGCACCAATCCAGCGTTTCCAAGTCTGATCCGACACTTTCAATATCTGCAGATGTCCGATATATCTTTAAGACATTCTGGGTTACTGAAATTGGTAGAGCATTGGCCTTTGAGCCAGAGGGTCGTGGGTTCGAGCCCGACTTTCACCACCGACTCCCACTGTCTGCTGTCTTTGTGTCCTTGGCAAGACACTTAACCTCTGGGAACACCAGCCACTTTACAGGCTGCGGCTGTAAAGTGCCAAACTGTCGTTGTGTCCTTGGGCAAGACACTTAACCCCACTTTGCCCAAAAAGCTCCCACTGAAAGATCAAGGCTATGCTCACACTCAGAGCAGCCGTCCTCCTGTGGACTCACCACCTGCAGAGGGTCAGTGAGGGGCTGGTGCTATGAGACTTGGGTGGCATCTCTGACTGCCACCCCCCTGACCCAGAAATGGATTAAAGGGTAGAAAATGGATGGATGGATGGACATTCTGGGTTAACATCAGGGATGAAGAGACCTAGTACATTCAAATAAGGATAAGTCTAACCTGATCCAATATTGGAACAGATATCCAATAGTAGGTACTTCTACTAGTGTATCGGTGCATCCCTAGTTTACAACTTTACAACCACTATTAAAGCTACTGGTAACTTCAAACAAACATTATGGATTCTTTCATATCAACGAGATCTCCAAAGGTTTTCTTTCTCCCAGGATTCCAGTCCCTGCCGCCTCTCTTCTCTCTCGGGTATCACCAGTGCCGCTGGAACTACGACGACGAGGCTGATGTTAAAGCTGTAGACGCTGGATTCGACTTCCACAAAATCCCATATGACGTCATCTGGCTGGACATCGAACACACAGACGGGAAACGCTACTTCACCTGGGACCCTGTGCATTTCCCCAAACCTACAGAGCTACAGCGCCACCTACAGAACAAAAACAGGAAGGTGTGTCACAACCATAAAAGTCTCAAACTAAATGTTTGTCTATCTATCTAATACTGCTTTGGAGATAATTACTTTACATGTTGTTCCATGAATGCCTCAACATTGATAGAACAGTTTAATAATTTACTTTATTACCTTGCCACTTCATGAGGGCATTTCACTGTAACAATATATATCTATAATATTCTCTATTGCAAAATAGAACAATAACTACAACTTTCTACATAACATTTCAGCTGGTAGTTATAAGTGACCCTCATATCAAGCTGGACCCTGATTGGCTGCTGTTCCGTGAGGCTCGGGATAGTGGACACTTTGTCAAAGACAGAGAGGGGCAGATTTTTAAGGGCTCCTGCTGGTCAGGTACTATTACACAGTTACTGTATTAATCACGGTAGCATTCACAGACGGTATTGATTATTTACCTGGGTGTTGTTAAATGACCAGGTGAATCTTGTTACTTGGATTTTACTAACCCAGCCACGCGAGCTTGGTACTCCAGATGCTTTTCTCTCAATAACTACAAGGTAATCCACATAAATAAGGTTAAAGGAAACGTTATTGTCAAGTGCTTACAATGTTACTCACAGGGTTCAACATCCTCATTGTTTATATGGAATGATATGAATGAACCGTCAGTGTTTGATGGGCCAGAGCAGACCATGCCCAAAGATTC